TAAACTATTGGTTCATCAACAAAGGGAAGACAAAATATATGGCTATCAATGTCCCCAAAGCAACAGAGTAGATGGAGAGACACTAGAAGTGGGAAGCACTTTACCTGTCTAGGGAGTGAGATGTGTAAAGATGGTGTCACCATGCTGTATGTCAAGCAGTGTATATTGAAAGCAGCAAACAACTTTCAGAAACTTGAAAAGATTTGGAAAAGTAGTATGGCTGACAGTGATACAAGTATGAATTTTTAATTCATGTCTCTCCTCCTTTATGGAGCAGAGTCATGAGAATCTACAACAGAAATGGATAAGATCAACTCATTCTAAAGTAAAAAGAAAAAGAGTACTTGTGGCACCTTAGAGACTAACAAATTTATTTGACCATAAGCTTTCGTGAGCTACAGCTCACTTCATTGGATGCTATATCTCACGAAAGCTTATGCTCAAATAAATTTATTAGTCTCTAAGGTGCCACAAGTACACCTTTTCTTTTTGCAAATACAGACTAACACGGCTGCTACTCTGAAACCTGTCATTCTAAAGTAAAAACCTGGGAAAGGTCTTCAGAGTTCACTGGGAAGTATCTTGCAACATCAGAAATTCTAAGGAGAGCAAACTAAACAAAAGCATCAAACATGGTCAGGCAATGATGGACATATTTAAGACATGCTTTAAGGATGCCACCAACCTGACTTCCACATCAAGTAATAATGTGGACACTAGCTGGAAAGAGAAGAGGGCAACCTAGAGAAGCATTATGCAGAACAAGGGAGAAAGAAGCCGAATCCATCTGTTTGACACTCAGAACAGACCAGCACCAAACCAAAATCAGTGGTGGCATCTGGATGCCCTATGCACCTGATGGGGTGGGAGGATAAAGAAGAATATTTGAAGTATACCTTTTTTTGCGGAGGCTAAAACACTTCTAGAAGCCAAGGCCCTAATCCTGCAAAGGGATCCACGTCCGCAGACTCATACCCATATGGACTGGACGCCTTTGCAGGATTAGGGCCTGTGAGATGGCAAAATCCCAAGGACAAATTTAATAGATCCAACAGACTTTCATTTTAAACATCTCTGATCGTTCTCAATATTTTATCTGTATGAATTGTATTAACTTCTAATGACATGAAGCGTTCTGTGCTTCAGCTATAGCCTGTTTTTTGATTTCTCTGAATAGTGTGGTCTTGTACAACAAAATCATGTTTAAAATGTGTGGAGGTGGAGAATGAGAAAATACAAGAACATGAACATAGAACTTAAACTCAAATTATTTATTTAGTGAAACCTCAAACCGCATTTTACTGGAAAGCTTGTACGCTGCACTGAAAATGTCTGATTCAGTTTCTAGATACAGTGAAGTTAATGCACTTATTTTCAGCCAGTGGTCTTAATTCTCTTTTTACACTGTTGTGAATTGGGAATAGCTCCATTTAAGTCAGTGGAGTTGTGTTGATGTAAACTGGTGTGAGGGAAAATCTGGCTCAAAATATGCTTAACTGAAAAGACAAATTAAACTAGCCTGAAGTCCCCACCTACCACGGAAACCATTCTGACAATAACATCCATTTTCTTAATAAGATGAGCGCTTTGAAATGGAGAAGTGCACATGTTCTGATGTGAACTAGGTTTGGTCCTCTAAAAAGTAATGAAATGGGATTACGTTTATTCAGTGCATTTCTGCTATTTTATCGAACATAATGACAGTGTTCAGATATGGATAAACTGTGCTTTTCCATTTTCTTGATGATATATTCTCAGACTTTTTTAAAGAAGTGTTTGGACTAACAAATCTAAGAGCAAGTAATCTGTAATGTGGAAGAGAGGGTAAAAGATGCAATGAAAGTACAATTACAATAAAAAGTACAATAAAAATCTTTCCTAGAAAACTGAAAACCAAAGTTTTACGGAAAATTGTGATCAGAGTAAAACTGAGATTATAATTCATTTAAAAGAAAATAGACCTAGCTAGGTTGGCTCACAAGTTGCACTAGTTGTGTCATTGGCTGAGCCAAACAACTTGACACTCCCACATTACCTGGGATACCTGTCAAAACCAGATATAAATTTCTGCTTTTTAGTAAGACAAGTGAAATTATACAACTGCATTATCTGACTGCATGATATAACTAGAACTTGATATGTAGCTAGTACTCTAATTGGGGAAGACATATTCTTCTTTCTTCATGCAAGGGTATGGATATTCTATAGTATTTTATGACTTTAGTCTCTTACCTGCAGAAAACATGAGGGCCAAGACTTAATAGTAAAGCCGAAAGTTAGGCACCTAAATAAGTAACTAGACTTTCAGAAGTGCTAAGCAGCTACCCCCTCCCACTGACTTAATTGCCAAGATGAACTTGGTTTAAAGCAGTGGTTTTCAACCTGTTGTGGGCCGCATATGCAGCTCTCTGTGTTATGTGGGCCGCATCCAGTGGTGCGGTGGACCTGGTTTGCACCGGTTTGTGTGAATCGGTTGTTAAATTTTGAAGTCGGTTTAGAACCAGTTGTTAAAGGGGTGGGCAAACTCTGGCCCGTGGGACCATCTTGTCTGTCCCGCCTGAGCTCTCAGCTGGGGAGGTCCCCCGGTGAATTTTTACTCACCCGGCGGCACTCCGGGCCTTTGGCGGCACTTCGGCGGCAGGTCCTTCTCTCGCTCCGGGCCTTTGGTGGCAGGTCCTTTAGTGCCGCCGAAGGCTCGGAGCGACTGAAGGAACTGGTTCTTCAGCTTCTTTCAGCTCATCACTGGTTGCATCCACACACTATACCTGTATACTACCTGTATGGCCCTGAGGATGTCACGTGGGCCGTAGCTGTGTGCTGCTAGGGCTGTAAAGGGCCACAGGTTGAGAGCCACTGGTTTCAAGTCTTGTTGAAGGTTTAATTTTCTTAATGTTTTACCTGATCATCTGGGTAAGGTCTTTAAGTGGAGGATTTTGAATTAAAGCCTCAATTTGAGTAAATTGTTAGATGGATCAACTTTCTATCTGGAGATGCACAAAGATTTAAGGTTTAAACAAAACTCTCACAGTTCAGGGCAACTGAACCTGTATTCCTCTCTGTGATGCAGCAGCAACACCGACTCTAGGCTCCCAGCTGCTTAGCTTTCACCTCTCTTGGGTGGAGACCTGCGTGTGTGTGCACGCGCGCGTCTGTCTCTCTCTTCTCCCTCCCATCCCCTCCAGGGGTATTTCCAAGCTGCACAGTTCCCTGTCTACACTGTTATTGCCAGATTGCCTAATGAGCATGGCATCTGTGTTTGCTTACCCTTGAAAGACAATGAACAAAGTAATTGCCAGCAGTTATGCGTTAACACAACCCTTTTTATGCAAGCACATTTATTCTTAAGGTGAAAGCATTACAAAGAAAACATTAAAAACAATAAAGGAACCTACACATGTTAATAAACTTACCAACGATCACCCTTCCCCCCCTCCAACTCCAGCAGGAGTCTTTCTAGCCCTTTCCTAAGGTTTTGGGCCCTCTCTTGAACAGAAGATTCTGTCCATTTGCTGGATCAGAAAGAGGGCCCTGAAGTCAGTTTAAACTCGAGCTGTATATCCAAAACACTTTTCTTTGTCTATGGGTCTCTAGAGACCCATAATCTCTTTAACGATTCTGAGTCTGACTCACGTGTTTCCTGAATTAAAAAGCTTCATTGATAGAACTGGAAACAAGACTTTAAAAAAGTGCTAATTAGATTCTTGTTCTTAATCTTCATTGTTTCATGCAATCCATTAATTCTTGGCAAAACTGAGTGAGGGAGATGGTGGGATCTCCATTTTACAGATTGAGGTGGTTGAGGAAGGAACTTTGCTTTGTCCAGCTGCTTGTCCTAATCTGCATTTGAAAGGGAGGATCTAACAACAATAACTAGATTAGTCAGTGTTGACTTCAGCCACATTAAAATTTTGTCAGTTGTGCTCTTTGAAAAGGCATTCCAGAATACATAAAATTTGAAAGAGTAGGATGTGACCCAGGAGAAAGGTTTCTAGACCTGTTGCCCCCCAATGAGAAATGGAGGAAAAGGTTAGGATTTTGACTTTTACCTTCTTAAGAGGTCTTTGGGAGGGTCCTAATATTAACTAATATCTTCTTGCTGGGGCATACTACCCGTGTATGTGCACTTGGATTGGTGCCTTGGATTTTGGAGAACTAACCTTCTGATTGTCCATGATTTTGGGATGTGTGATGTAATGATGAGCTCTAGAAAGATGTGCTAATTGAGGATTTTAACATTCATTATTAAGGCCCTCTATTTTCCCTTTGACACTGTTTTCACAGAGCCCATTGTATGAGTCCTGTGCCCAACCTCAGAACAATTCTGAGCCATAGTTGGCAGCTATGATTGCAGTTTCCTCAGGTCCTCCATTGCCTACACTGCCACCTTTTAATGGTCCTTCAGTTTCTCGACCTTTGGAGTGGTCAGTGAAGTCTCTCTCCCTTCATCCACTATTAAAGAAACAAACTTGACTATAAATAGTTTTTTTATTTTGTCACTAGGGTTAGGTGGAAAAGTTTGTTTTTACTATTTAACTCTGACCATTTCATTGAATCTTTAATTTAGGCCTTGCCCACGATGGGGGACCCGTCTAAAAGAATGGGATTATTGCACCGGCTTCAGGTGAAGAGTGCTAAGGCTGAGATGCCTACAAGGTCTTCTCAGAAAGGGCTCCAAAGGGCAGTAACCTTTGTGCTCCAGAACCTGTTTCTGCAAGAGGCTCTGGAAGCACATGAGTTTAGGGGACATTCTTCTCATTACCTGAATTTATTGTAAATATGTCCCTTGTCAGTCTAAGTGCATCTTTCAAGTGGGAAATATATTTGACCTGTACTGAACATTCCATGTTTATGATCAAACGATTGAAATACAGAGGCTTTTAAAAATGGATTTACTTCTCGTGGTTGTTCCTATCTCTAGAACATACTTCTTAGCCCAACATAGATATTTTATTAGACTCTGTGTCGACAAACATTTAACAAAGGTTTCTTTCATCTCACAGGTTTTGGAAGGAAGGATGTAGTAGAACACTTGCTGCAAACAGGAGCCAATGTTCACGCTCGTGATGATGGAGGGCTAATACCTCTTCATAATGCTTGTTCCTTTGGTCATGCTGAGGTGGTTAGCCTGTTACTATGTCAAGGTGCAGATCCAAATGCCAGAGACAATTGGAACTACACTCCTCTGCATGAAGCTGCTATCAAAGGGAAGATAGATGTGTGTATTGGTAAGTATTTGTCATTAACTACATCAATTTACTTAAAAATTTAAACACATTAACATTGCAGTGAACTTGTATTGCTCAGAATTGTAGTGACTGTTTCCATTCCACTTGATAGACAAGGGACCAGTTGCTTTTCTCTTCCTTGTTAAGAAGGGTGTATTTTTTCCCCCCCATCCGCACGCCCCTGGTGGGCAAGTAAAGAGATGGTAACCTAAAATTTAGTGACTTACAGGATTCACAACACAGTGTTTTCTAAGCTTGCGGTCTGGAAAGCTAAACTGGCACAGGAGCTAAATTTTGATGGAGGAGTAGTCTAATGGAGTTAATTTACCATTTTGGCAGAAACATAACATGAGAACTCTGCCAATAAAATGGAAGGTCTGACTTCAGATAACATCATGGCTTTTTGAGGCTGATCCTGGTATTGTGGTATTCTTCAACCTGTGAAGTTGGGTATTTCCTGTGTTATAAGAATTGAAAGGCTGACCATTTTACTACTATTTGAAAGCTTTGAGGGACTAGTTACAAGACAAACTTGTTCAAAACAGTTATATATTTTCAGCATGTACAGCAGATATTCATAGAATATCAGGGTTGGAAGGGACCTCAGGAGGTCATCTAGTCCAACCCCCTGCTTAAAGCAGGACCAATCCCCAACTAAATCATCCCAGCCAGGGCTTTGTCAAGCCTGACCGTAAAAACTTCTAAGGAAAGAGATTCCACCACCTCCCTAGGTAACGCATTCCAGTGTTTCACCACCCTCCTAGTGAAAAAGTTTTTCCTAATATCCAACCTAAACCTCCCGCACTGCAACTTGAGACCATTACTCCTCGTTCTGTCATCTGCTACCATGGAGAACACTCTAGATCCATCCTCTTTGGAACCCCCTTTCAGGTAGTTGAAAGCAGCTCTCAAATCCCCCCTCATTCTTCTCTTCCGCAGACTAAACAATCCCAGTTCCCTCAGCCTCTCCTAATAAGTCATGTGTTCCAGTCCCCTAATCATTTTTGTTACCCTTCGCTGGACTCTTTCCAATTTTTCCACATCCTTCTTGTAGTATGGGGCCAAAACTGGACACAGTACTCCAGATGAGGCCTCACCAATATCGAATAGAGGGGAATGATCACATCCCTCCATCTGCTGGCAATGCTCCTACTTATACATCCCAAAATGCCATTGGCCTTCTTGGCAACAAGGGCACACTTGACTCATATCCAGCTTCTCGTCCACTGTAACCCCTAGGTCCTTTTCTGCAGAACTGCTGCCTAGTCCCTAGTCTGTAGTAGGGCATGGGATTCTTCTGTCCTAAGTGCAGGACTCTGCACTTTTCCTTGTTGAATCTCATCAGATTTCTTTTGGCCCAATCCTCTAATTTGTCTAGGTCCCTCTGCATCCTATCCCTACCTTCCAGCGTATCTACCTCTCCTCCCAGTTTAGTGTCATCTGCAAACTTGCTGAGGGTGCAATCCACACCATCCTCCAGATCATTAATGAAGATATTGTACAAAACCGGCCCGAGGACCGACCCTTGGGGCACTCCACTTGATACTGGCTGCCAACTAGACATGGAGCCGTTGATCACTACCCGTTGAGCCCGACAATGTAGCCAGCTTTCTATCCACTTTATAGTCCATTCATCCAGCCCATACTTCTTTAACTTGCTGGCAAGAAGACCGTGGGAGACTGTGTCAAAAAATTTGCTGAAGTCAAGGTACGTCCACTGCTTTCCCCTCATCCACAGAGCCAGTTATCTCGTCGTAGAAGAGCCTAGAGCCAAAGCAATTTCAAATAAAATTGAATATTTCAATCATTTTAAATGTATGTAGATCATAGTAAATATTCTTCAGTAATATCTTTCATTTTTATATATTTTCAGTCTGCTTAGTAATACTTTCTTCAAGCAGAGTTCTTTATTTTTAATTGTGCAGACTGGCTTGAAAGTTACTTCTGAAGGAAGCCGTGAAATTGTGTGGTCAGTATTTCAGATCTGGAGGGAAAAAATAACTTTATTATGTAGCCACATCATATTAATGATCATGGTTACAAATTTGAGATCTTAGTTTTAATCTGAGGGCACTTCATTTTATTATATGGACCAATTTTGAAAAACCTACAGTGTTTGCTTAAAGACAGTCCCGACAAAAATTTAGTAGGGAGATTATATTACCAGTGGATAATGAGACCACTAATGGGAGTCCTGTGTCCAATTCTCAGTCAACACTCCAAAGAGGGTGGTGGAAAATGTGGAGAGGGCTCAGAGAAGAGCCACGAGAATGATTTGAGAACTGGAAAACCTGCCGTGTATTGAGACCTTAAAACAAAGGTTAAGAGGTGACTTAATCGTGGTCCATAAATAGCTACACAGGAAGAAGAGACCTGATGCTAGAGAGCTCCTTTAGGTGGCAATGGCATGACGAGATGAGTCTAGATGTGCACAGGAATACATAACAAATTTAAGTGAGGGTAATTGGGAATATTTTGCCAAGGGATGTAGTAGATTTTTCCATCACTTGAAATCTTTACATCAAGAATCATGGTCTTTCTCATGCCATAATAAGGACTTAAATGATTCCATAGAAACCTGCGGTGTACACTTTTCTACATGTGTGTGAAATGATTCTGGTGTAGTTTGATCAAGATGTAGATAATTTAGTGTCTGGCTTGTCTGTTTTACCCATTTTAGTATGTCCCTTCCTATTTTTATACGGGGCCCCATCTCCAAGTCCTGTAAGTAAATAACTCTGCAAAGCAGACTTGTATACATTTATTTATCATTTAATTTTCTATGTATGGCAGAACGCTTGAGTGTTAAGAGGACGTACAAATATCAGTCTTTGATAGAGAGGTTGGTGGAGTCTTGTTCATGCCTTAAGCAATATTTGATGGCACAGCAAGGATTCAGACCACTTGCAAATATATTTCTGCAATATTCTTAGGCTTGGAAGGATTAATTTTTATTGATAAATGTTGATTTCACCCTAAAGACACCGACAGATGTTTAGATGATAAACATTTGCAGATAGGAAAGGTAATAAAAATGCTGAGAATTTTAGTCAAAATCCAGAGATTTTTTTTTTAAGACTTTTGAATTAGGCTTGTTATGAATGGATTCATGAATGAATCGTAACGGGTATGACTTGATGATTTAAGGATATTTACTTTGTATATTTTGACATGTGATGTTGACCATTTGTTTTAATGATGTATAAAGATTTAACTTATTTATGCTGTCATTAAATAATTCTGATCCACTCCCACAACTGTGAAATTTTTAAATGGGGGGAAAAGGCTTAAAAATAAACTTCAACTGACATTATACAAAAAATGCTGACATGCATAAAAATAGATTCTGCCAAGCCTAAGTATATTGTACAGTAGCTATTTTTACCCAAAGTGTTGATTACTGATATAATTGTTATATAAGAAATTGGCTGGTACAAATCAGTGTCAGGTACTAGACTTAAACAAGTCAGGTATGCTTTATTATAAAGCAAGAATTTGACAGTGTCTGGAACACTGGCACAACATATGAGAAATTATTGTTGAACACCGCAATATCTGCTGAAACTTTTCTTTTTAGAAACTGTCTACTGACTTTTTCCCCACATGCTTCATTTTGGCTCTTGTTTATTTTGAACATCATCCAAAAGCTAAAATGGGAGATGCTTGCCATATTTGTTCTTTCCTCCCATCTGCATGTCTTTGTCCATATCATCGTTACCATGCGAATGCTGCTTCTGTAATATGGCAGGAGAGTAAACTGGTAATTGAAGAGCATAATGAGCCAGGAAACATGGAAAAGTCATTAACAGTGGTCTTTCAGAGCCACAATAAATGTAACAAGATAGGAAAGCTAGAATACTAGCAAAAACTGGATAGTGATTACAATAGATCTGAAGATTGCTAATGGTCTCTGGATTTCAGTTGTTAAATAGTTTTTAAAATAGTAAATGCACACTTCTACTGCATAGTTTTGATATTGCTTAATTGTCATTGACATTATTTGCATCTAACTGAACAACATTTCTTTCCCCCAGGTAGAACATGAGAGAGAACAAACCATATGTGGCAAGTGTAGGTCATGTTGCTTAATGTGCTACAGGAAGATGCTTGTTTACCATGGTGATAAGACAGTATAAGAATCTGTATAGCACAGAATGGAAAGGTGCACCTGTTTAGCTCAGAAAATCTGGCCCATGACTTGTAGTCTGACCTGGTGTGTCCCTTTGTCGTCTTTGTGCTCTCTATCTTGGAACACCAAGGATCCCTAAGGATGGCAAATGCTTAGCAAAAGTGAACATGTGCTGGCCATTTCTTTTGGGATGATTAGGCATTGAAAATTTGTTTTCATTACTTAGTAATCAAATGTATGTCAGGTTTTGTGTGTTAACACCATTTAATGAATGTGTGTGTTTTTTAAATTGACTCAAGCATTGGAAACAAGAAAACTGTTAGATTGCAAGTTGATGATATTTATAGATCTTTGTGTTGGCTCATCTGTTACTAAGATGCATGTTTAGTGTCTGAGTTCTGCTCCCAGAGCTAATGAGAAGCATTTTGCTCTTAAGTATTGCTATTCAAGATCGAGCACCATTTCATTTGCTTAGGGAAGAACCAAGCAAGAAGCATTTTACTATAATTCAAGAATGAACACTAAATACTCATGGAAGAGTACTGTCAAGTCACAGAAGTGATTTTCAAAGCTAAGATAGGGAGAACGAAGGTTTCTAGTTTGCTATGGAAGACCAAATATGAGGGAACATGAGCATACTAAGAATTCAACCTTTTTGTTTCTGTACAGTCCCAATAAAACATTGCATCTAGCTTAATGCTGACCGTTTGTGGTGCTGGGTGTAGGTGTAGAGCACGCATGCTTATGGCCAAAATGTAGGAAAAGCTTCCCCCCCCCCCTTTTTTTTTTTTTTGCTGAAGCAAAATACTGAAAACGAACCTTGATTGATAGTCTTTGCATGCATGTAAATCTTGTTATGGATTAGGCAACT